ACGCGACGCTCCAAAATTATGGGCCTGGGTGGAATGAAGCATGTCATTGTTCGAAAAAATTATTCTTCATTGTAAAGCTCCCATGCTTAGTTGAAGATCTCACTCAAGGTTGGCATAAAAGAAGCATGAATAGTGAAATTTAGAAGCAAGACTCACCCGAAAAAAGCAGAGGGTTCAACTGGAAGCTTTTGAACACTGGTTGAGACTCGTCAGTGAGAGAGGATTCGTCTACAGTCAAGTCGCTGCTCTGCAGCAGAATGGAGTCAGCAGGCAGCAGGTCGCCGTACTCAACCTGCAGTGCAAGGCAAGCATAAATCGCAGAGAAAGTTCAAAATAGAGAAAAAATAGTAGCGGCCAGATGATGCAATTTAAAATCTTAAAAATGTTTATCGCTGACAATCGTTCATGAAACCAATTTAAGCTGATTTCATCTGTACATGTACGAAATGCGAAAGAAAGAAGATAGACTGTTGCTTTGAACACGGTTATACTTAAAAACCAATAATCCAATTGGAATGGAATATTTGACGGACTATCAAAACGTACAGAAGGAATGCCTTTATTTTGCACCACATGACTCAAATAAATAGGATTTTTCTTAAACGTACAATAAGAGTTGCTAACTTGAATTATGTCACCAACGACGATGTCTTCGACATTGATCTGTTGAAGTTCGCCGTGCCGGATAACAGAGAACAGTTTTTCTCTTGAAATCTCGATTTGGACATTGCGAAATATCCGCTGTTTGGTGTAGTTGCTGGAGGCTGTGACTGTAACGACCAGCATCACCGAAAAGATGGTGATGCCTGGAATCCAACCCTCCTTTTTTTCGTTTTCATCGAGATGGATGGTAACGTCTGCAACCCAAGAAATTTCTGAAGTGGGGTGAAGGCAAAATTTATTGTTTACTGTTGATGGAGATGTGCAGATAAGACGTGTACATTGTACGCTAATTATAATGGGTGTCTATCATAAATATGTAGCTAGACGTGCTGAAAATTTAACAGAGCTGAAAGAGATAAGCAACAGAGTAAAGAAGAGATAAGGTTTACGCCGCAGAAACGCCAAGAAACCCGCACAACTGAAGCTCTTAACACATCATAAAAGATATGGATGAAACAGATAGCCGACAACGTGCGTCATCAAGTTCTTAGACTCACACACAGTCAATCCCAAGGAAATGAAGGCAAAAATCAGCAGCAGGATAAGGGTCGCATCCTGTAGAGCTTTCCACACGAACTTGAAATAAGTTTCGGTAGGTTTTGGCGGGATGATGTTTGAACCGAAAAGTTCGCGACGGTGTTGAATATCTGCTGAGTCACCGCTTAAACCTGCAATAGAGGCATCATATATGTTAAAAATATAAGAAAAATTCACTTATACAATTTAAACTCTAGTCCTGAAGCTACCAGCAGTCTTTAGTAAAAAGTTAGCGTCTGCTCACAAGTGGGCCACGCCATAATAGGATTATTTTAAGAGTATTTCAAGACTTTTTTTAAGACTTGCGAAAGTAGCGCTGGGGAAGTCGACGCTGCACTAGAAAGATTATTTCTGAATACAAATTGTGTGATTCGCGTGATGCACGAAAATTTTAGTAGAGATTTCTACGTTGAAAATAAATCTTATGATTCTAACTCCTGAAGTGCAGTATAATGTATAGCACCATATATATCTGAGTGATGCCAACCAATAAGGCTCACCCCTCTGTGCATCGGAGTGCAATTTCCTACATATTTCTTCAGAGCCGCCATATTCCTGGACAATATCGGCAGCTGTAGGTCCTCTCCCTGCCATTAGCGCTCTGAGCTGCTTCAAGGAGAGCTCGTACAGCATTGGTCTTCCGTCTATCGTAGACATGACAGTCTTCTTTTTCTTACTACGCATATGTTCCTGCAAAGATGAATGAAAAATGTGAAAGATGAAAGTTATAGTGAAGATGTTATGATGAAAAGTTATAGCGAAGATGAAAGTTATAGATGAAAGTTATAGCGAAGCCATAACAGTCTTCTTTTTTTACTACGCATATGTTCCTGCAATCCTATAAAAATTGAGCCTATTTAACGACAAAGGCAAGATTTCCAGTCATATGGTGAAGCAACTACAAGCTAATATTGATAGAAACTTCTGGTAACTTTGCATTCTGGAACACTGTGTCAGCAGCAACTATTAAACACAAACAGTAACGACATATAGAGTAGAAGTACAACGGTTTTTTCTTGTTCTGCATAATAAGTGTACATTCTATGATAAAAACAATATCTAACTACGGATGATAGAATTTTAATCTCTATCAAATTTATTTCACCCGAAATCAATGCAGGAGTTCATTTATTATCTAAAATTGGGAAACATTTCTAAAATGTTATTTTACAGGAGCAAAATTTGGAGCACGAAAAATATAACATAATCTAAAAAACTAATCCACACAGCTATCGGTTAGTTGTGTCAGTTCGCTGTGTTCTCTATCATGTTACGAGAAGCCGACTTCCTCTCAGCCCAAGATCGTATCTGGATTTAATTTCCACTTCACTGACTCTTCTGAACCGATGTAAATAAGTTGTGCTTCATAAGTGGCCCTATCTTTAACTTTAGACGATAAAAGATTAGATAATGCATGAAGGCAGTAATGCACGGTAATAATAGAAACCGGTTAAAACGTTACTGCCATAATTTATCTTCATCTGCTTGTCATTCTGCTCAACTAAAAGCCAAAGTTTAATAACCTTCAACTATGATGCTTTTCTAGACGATGTTCCATGCAACGGTAAAAACTTGTAAGGCTGAGAAGACCAGTAACGTGCGGTTTATCAAACCTGCTGCCGTCAGAGATCTAGTACCATGCACATGTAACTCGCAACTCGTTTGATTTGCGAAAAGTTTATTCAGATTTTCAAAGTATACGATAAGTCAGATATATCAGCCATATACAACATGTATATTTTGTTTTTTTCATAGCACATACTCCATTACAATATGAATATTGCTGATGTGATTACAAAACGTCAAGTAAAATTATTCAAGACGTGACTAAAAAGTTCCGGTTAGAAGTCCCGCCTACCGAACTTATTAACACTATAGTTTCAGAATTGACAAAAATTAGAATTTTTTCCCACCTGAGTTTCCATTATATTCTGTGATCGACAGCTATCAGCGGCATAGAAAGAGCAGTAAAAGGATGGGCCATGAGTATGAAATATTTTAAAATAATTGTTGAATTTAGTGAAACTAATCAATGAAATAAATGTTTTATATATTAAATAATTAAATTAATAGATCTGATTTACCCAAGCTTACAATTATATTTTCCCAACAAATACTGCTACCATCTATGAAAACATATTATTATCAATTGTCGTTTACGATTCTTGGGCAAGTTATGAGGCATCTCCATGATCAGTTACCAATTCAGCGTGAACGAGTCCTGTAGCAATTTCTCCCGCATCCTAGTAAGCTCAAAATTATTAATATTCTACCACATGAACATAAAAACTGAGTGGGAACTCCCCTTCTTCGATATCCATGCAAGTTTAGACGTCTATTTCCTAAACCTATCACGATCTTATGTTGGAACAGCAATTGGTGTTCTAAAGGTGTTTCATATTTAATTCATTTATCATAAACTGTAAAACTTAATAGATTATATAAGCCCAACAGAATATCGTCAGCTATTGCAGATTTCGTTTTCTTGTGGCAATCGTCTTAAGAAGTCACTTCATTATTCGCCTTCCCGGCTTTAGAAAAACATATCAAAGGTCTCGTGTTTGAGGCCCACCAGTTTTCCTTGAAAATTGACAATTAGTTTTGCTAGAATTTGCATGTTATTAGGTTGCATTGTACACAAAACAATCCATAAACACTTTCCTACAGTTTAATGTTGTCGCATTTTCTATAAAAAAGGCGATGAAGAAATGAATGCACAACAATCTAAAATTCTTTCTTTGTCCTAGAATTGTAAACAGCAAAAAAATATGGATGGTAATTTGAATTTTTCATCATTGTAAGTCTTTTAATCACGCTTTATAATTATAATGAAATTTTTTCAGAAATTATCGATCATACACACTTTTTGTGGTGAGACAATAAAAATTTTGTGAATATGTCTATCATTGAATATTCTTGAAGAAAATAAAAGTGTAGGCCAATAAATATGAGCGACCTGCTACGGAGAAAATCACAGCTTTTAAAGTTTGTTTGTCTTTGCCTTACCAAAATATACCTCTATGTAGGCTGCACCTTGCAGATCTAGAGAGGCTGCGCCTCGCAGATCTAGAGAGGCTGCGCCTCGCAGATCTAGAGAGGCTGTGCCTCGCAGATCTAGAGGGGCTGCGCCTCGCAGATCTAGAGAGGCTGCGCCTCGCAGATCTAGAGAGGCTGCACCCCGCAGATCTAGAGAGGCTGCGCCTCGCAGATCTAGAGGGGCTGCGCCTCGCAGATCTAGAGGGGCTGCACCCCGCAGATCTAGAGAGGCTGCGCCTCACATATCTAGAGGGGCTGTGCCTCGCAGATCACGCGTCTGGAGTCGGAGCATAGCGTGTTGGAGAAGCGGTACATCCACAGGGTGCTCAGCTCCAGGCAGTTCTCCACGCCGGGGTTGTCGGGCTCTGGAGCGCCTACAGCAGCCTGGGAAGGCGGGTGAAAAATTCTAACAACATGGCATTTGTTTAGATTGCTTGGTGTCACTTAATTACTGAATATTTAATGACATTTTTCAATTTATAAGTTGAAACAAGCTATGAAATCATTACTATCAGTTTGTGGACAAATTCCTTATGGCGCTAACATCACGCTATTAAAATAAAAATAAAAGCAATTAATTGAAGAAAATGTGGAATTACTTGGCCACGGGATTTTGATATTTCACAAAAAAAATGATAATTTAAAACCATGAAATCAATCAAGGTGGTCGGCTCTTTATTCAAGAATTAGTTAGGAGATAACAGGAGCTTCTATATTCATTTGAAAATTCTTCGTCAAAATTCTGCGCAATAATCGCAGGATGCAGAAACCCTGCGGAGACTTCATATATATTGTCCACAACGACGTAATGAACAACCTAATCAATTAATGTCACGTTCATTTCAACGTGTAAAAATAGTATCAATATATCGTTGACCGAGGAGCTCGAGATAGTAACTTTAAACTGTAGAGTAAATATAATGTTAAATGCGTATCGCAGTATCCAAATTATCAAGTTGCCTGCTAATTCCGGAAAATTCAAGTCCGGCAGCACCGACGCACCCGATGCGCGCGCAGTTGAAGTTTGGATCGGCAACGAGGAAAGCTCTGCCAAATTTATTTCTGTGCTTCTATGTGTCAAATGTGAAATATGTGCATTTACTGGGTGATTGAGGTTTTATGAGTGAGCAAAAACTGTTTGTGAGAATATCAGTGATTATTTTTCATTCTTGAAGATTTAGGTACAGTGTCCCTAACCTGAGTCCGATTGTCAGGGTTAATGGGTTAATGTGTGATATCCTTTAACCTTAGTCGAATCGACACGGTTCGGGTGCAACCCTGGGTCCAATTGACAAGGTTTAGGTGCTGTATTCCTAACCTTGAATGTGAAGTAAGGATGCCACCTGTTAGGCGTCTCATTCTTATCATATTATAAGATTAAAGAAACTGTCATGAAGACGCAATATTCGTCAGACGCTGTAGAAATTGATGCAATGGGAGACACCTAATTATTGTATAACATTACGTGAGCGAAGCTGCTCCCACGATGAGGGCGGAAGCAACATGTTTATAAAAAGACGTGACTCTCAAGTAAGACAGGTCCAGTATAGCTACCAAGACCGCAGTAATGTAGCGCTCACTAGTACTGCAATGGGTCGAGTGAGTCGGCGGCCGGACGGTCGAAGGTGATTGCTGTCCCACTTTCATACTCGTTCCTATTCGCTGATTCTGTTACTTATACCATCCCGTAACAGGTTAAGTTTAAAAAAATATAACTCATTACTCACTGCAGTGAGTGACAGAGAGCGCATTTTCTCTTGTCACGGACGGACGTCACGGACAGGCATGACGAGCACAATAGCGCCTTTTTTCCATAAATGAGAAAATGCGCTAAAATTGCGTCTTTGCTTATCCTTCCAAGTAATCGACGAATTCTGTCCTCAGCTTAATCATTCTTTTTATATTTTTAATCAGGGTAGCAGCTTAATATTGCCGTGGGAAGTAGCCGTTTGTAAATGCCTCCTGGCTAACCTACTAACCAATCAATGAATGGCGTTATTGCATTGACTTGCATCAGTTTTGATTCCAAAATTTTTACTTGCCTTATAATTAGAGTTATCTAAAAAGAGAACTCATACATTTTCTAAATTTCATACTAAAAAATGCAACTTATTAACTCATCACATTTTATTTGATAACTGTATCTTACATTCGCCCAGTATGGCAGCCCCATTGCCATTGGAGAGCCGTCTATCCAGCGCCACTGTCCCTCTAAGACTTTATCCGAGCCACCGATCCAATATCCAAGAGGGCTGTAGGCTTGTCCTGTGAAGAGACGTGAAAACTAAACAGATTAAAACGAAACATGGAAAATCACATAAAAACAACAAGCAAGTTTTCTCGGCGTTACCTGGGGCCGATAATCCTTGCAATTTTTTGATCGTTATCCTGAATCCCTTCAGTAATATTTTAAATTAATATATAATAATTGACAAGGTTAATGACATTCTTTAAGGAAGACATTCTAAAATTGACACAAAACATCTTACATAGAAAGTAGAATTCGCATTTCACAAACTGTTACAACTGCGAATGTTAATTATTCGAACTTGTTTGTTTGAAGCCTGGCATAGCAATATACAAGGGCTGTTGGGGCGCGTATCCAGGATACTTATCGTGTCGGGATATTGTATATAGGGGCTGTTGGGGCGCGTATCCAGGATACTTATCGTGTCGGGATATTGTATATAGGGGCTGCAGGGGCGCGTATCCAGGATTTTATCGTGTCGGGATAGTGTAAGTAAGGGGCTGTTGGGATGCGTATTCAGGATACTTATCGTGTCAGGATATTAATTAGCACTTCAAAGGCATGGAAAATCTATTCAAAATGATGATTTAAGATAAAAAAAGCTCTGGGGGAGCCTCTAGTTTGAGTTATATATCAAACGTTAGTGAAATTTAGATATTTGTGTTGCAAACTTGAACTTTTTTGCACTGATTCAATATTATATTAATATTGTTGAGTCGTACGCAGATAAATGGTGGAAATGCAACACCGCCTCATATTTAGGTTCATATGAAGACGCATTGCTCTGTCTGCAGAATGTGATAGGTCTCAAGGACACGATTCAAATTTATAGGCAAGATACGTTAAGGTCCCATGAAATCTGATTTTGCTGGCGATTACCTTGCTCCATGACGTATGTGATAACCCTGCTGTACTGTTCGCAGTCATCTAGAATTATCAAATCTCCTCCGGTTGACCCACACGCGGTGCGTGCATCGGTAAAGTTGTAACTTGTTGGCAGAAGGTGAACGCACTGCGTGCCCACCAGGTCGTATGGAACGGCGCATAAACCTGCAAAAAACGAAAAGTTGATGGGATGTCAAACAAAATTAAAATTGAATAAAATGGTCGGCTAAGCGTAATCATATATCGAACTATTTTTTAAGCATTCTAGAAAGTTTTCACGATAAGTTTTCAATTTTGGTGATAGTACAATAGACGTCATCAAAATAATACCGATATGTCGAGTGATAAATTTCTTGATAAAAGCATGTGTAGACTTGCACTAACTAACCAAAATACATATGGAAAGACGATTGATTAGATTCTTTTTCTTTGCAACCTAGGCTTGAAACTAGCATCGAAATTCATTAATAAACTAGAACGGCAAGCCGCTTTATAGGTTATTCATTTGTTTGATGTCAGGTAGTCACTTCTGAAAAAGGCTCTCACCATCCGTTGAAGATCTTGAGCACACTGGGTAAGCAGCGACGCCTGAGGATGTGCAAGCTACGTCATCCAGCAGCCAGCCATATTTTGGGGTAAACATAGCGCAGTCTTGACCGGTTCCGAATCCATAGCTTTATCTAGTCTATTCTTGAACGCGTTCATACTTGGAGCGCCACCGATGTCATCGGGGAGGCTGTTCCACATGTCGGCGATTCGAAGCGAGAAGAAATTATGTCGCGTGGAGAGTTGCATCGCAGTTTTTTTTAGCTTATAGTCGTGGCCCCTGGTGTTGGTTCTTGTTTCAAATTCTAGTAATCTTTCGGGGACCTTGTATAGACCATGAGTATACCTGTATACTTCAATGAGGTCCCCACGCAGACGTCGATAACTGAGGCTTGGAAGCTTCATAATCTTCAATCTTTCTTCATAGGACTTGCCCTTCAAGCCTGGAATTATCCATGTTGCACGTCTTTAGCAAAATTTGTCTGACTAACTGACATGGCAGTTAATTAGTGGTCCGACAAACACCGCAAACCTGTCGATGTATGCATGGCTGAGTATTGAGTCACAAATGTAACTCTTAAGTCTTAACTAAGGCTTCGATGGCACTTATGGGAACCGTACGAATATGAGTCGAGTTTATTACGCGTTCGAAAAGAGTTCAGGCGCCGTGGAGCGCATAGGGAGTAGGGACGCAGTGCCTAGATTAGTCGGCCAATTAGTAGAGAGTGGAATGGAGACCTTGCTGGTAAGATATTCCTAATAATACTAAAGCTAGTATTAGATTATCTCTGCCTTTAGTAAAATTTTGTGCTAAGCCTGCAGGAAATCTTCACAATTGAGAAGTTTCCTGAATTGTTATCGAACACTTGGGCTTGTTTAACGTTGTTTATTATATTTTTTCCAACTTGAATTTCGCTATATTTTAAAATGTTGTTGATTTTTCTTTCCAAACTTTATTGTTGAAGGAGATTGCCCCAGTTAAAATTTAGGGCAGGGAATAGAGCAGGCCGTCGCCGGCTGCAGAGCCGACGTAGAGACGCGACAGAGCAGCGATAGAGCAGAAATGTCCGCTTTAGAGACGATATCGCCAGCCGCGTATCAGCGCTAATTTGCTTCTGAGTACCTGCCCAGGTGTGCTCTGTCCTGCCGTCACGCAGCCCTTACTGAGCACCGCCTGCTCAAACCTGCCCAACGCCTGCTCTGGGGCGGCTCTGGCAGAGTACGCTGCAGTTACGCGTCACCGTTTGTCAACAACGATTTAAAAAAATTTATTCCTTCTCTCTCTCAGATCACCTAGACTTCGCTCTTGCAATGACAGGTTGTATTGACATTGGTTACTGACATTCTCATTCTATTGACTTTAGCAACGTAATTTAGAATTTAGCAAATTCACTTATCGAGGATATATACACATCAAATTACTCACCGCTATGTACTATCTGCAAACGTCGACTGCAGCTCCGGGATTCGAACGCAGACTCTCCGCGTCGTAGTCCAACGTCTGTACCAGTTGACCGCGCGGACACCTTACCAGCCTAGGCTCTATGAACTACTTAACTACAATACGGAACAAATGACTCGCCATCATCTAGCAACTCGAGGAATATCTATATTTGTGGTTGTACTTGATAGATATTATTCATAATGCACTAATTTTAAAAAATGAACAAAGTAGCCATTCGTATGATCCCGTCAGTTAGATGTAAGTGAGCATTAGAGCTAAATTTGTTTAGTAATTTAAAAGGACTGATATGTTTAGCGGCTTTCGGACAGAACATCGCAAAAACATGAAAATATAAAAAAGAGAAAGTACCAGGTAAAAATTATCTAATTTTACAGCCTTTTTGTCAAGTTACTTTGCAAGCTTTCAAAGTTTGATGTTTCTTGATGTCTTGTCCTCATTTCATATATTAGTTTGTTTGTCGCAATTCAGATTTCATTCTATTTGTGACACACAACGAGTCACTCACCTAAGCCCAGGTGTTGCATGTTTGAGGCCACCATTTCCCAATACCGTTAGCACTTTCATATTCTTCCTGTGTGCAAGTATGCTACTGAGTAGATTAGCATTTGAACTTGAGTGATTGGAGCCTTAAGGTGCTTATACACCGGGTTCTTAGTTGCGTCTACTAGGCGAGGCAACTAAAATTTGTGATGCTTGACGTGTTCAGAGGCAACTAGCTGGGTCATTGCAAGCAGGGCAACCAGAGTTGTTTTGAAGCAGTCTATTGCGCTCAGTAGCCGCCCGGCCGTCATACCGAGTACGGTTGCGTCGCTTTCTCTCTCGCCCACTGTAGCGCGCACTGCCGTCTTGCTCTCGCATGCCTCCACCGTGCACACCCTTACTCGGCAACTCCCAACGTCGCACTGACGCGGGCGCAGTGTACCAATAGCACTAAACTCGTGTATACTCTCAGCCTGCAAAACTGTAGTAGACGCAATCAATATACGCAACTAATAGCACCGTGTATAAGCACCTATAGACACCGCAAGCCACCAGCAGCTGCGCCAGCATATATATAGCCTTCACGGCATCTACACCCCAGCATGCGTTTCCCTCCACACTTGCCCCGACTCTCCACCCAAACAACATCTCCGGACCAAACCTAACCTCATTGGCTGCAGCAAGGTGGAGAAGCATGGTAAGTGTGGAGATAGGCGCATGCTGATGTGTAAATGCAATAAAGTTTATACTGGCTGGAGCAGTGGCAGCAGGCTCACAGCGCCCTGAGGCTTCACTGGCATGGCTTGCGGTGTTTCTTGTGTGATCTGCGACTTCTTAGCTCTGTGGCTGACTTTAGCTGAGCTTATTTATACAGAGCATTTGCTAGAAAGCTTATTTGAGAGTAAAATTTGTGGCCCACGTCTGCGCACCGAAGCCCAGTACGCAATAGACCAGTACGCAATAGACGCCCATGTGCACGGCGGTGCCGTCGTTCCACTGCCAGACGCCATTTGCTGAAGAGTTGGTGGCGCCCAGCCAGTAGCCGTTGATGTCGTCCGCTGAGACTAACGGAACACATGGGTAAACAAGAGATGCTTTATAATTCAGACTCGAACACGGATTTGTGTAGCATATGGCAAGTATTCAGAGTAAGTGGTAGTAAATTAGTATTATTAATACCTTTTGTGGAACCCTATCACACTGTCGATGGCCATTGTTATAACAGTCTGTAGGGTCTGAAGACTTGCGTGTCTAGTGAAGCTCTAAGCATTTAGTTATACAATGCAAAATTGAAGTCCAATTGATGAATCGTATTTTGCTTGCGGTTTCTTCTATACCAGGTAAATAATTTTTTTCAATGGAATATCAATGCACATAATTAAATACAGGAATTTCATGTCAACTTGGTTATCGAGCCGAATTCTTCATCAAGCTATACTACTCACATCCATCGTCAACATAAGTAGCAACGTCAGTGAAGGAAGCGCAGTCGCGCAGCACGGGCAGCCTGCCGAAGTTCTGGTGGCAGTAAGTGACCGCGTCGTCGTGCGTGAGGTAACCACCAGGCAGGCGGTGGATGCACTTGGACCCAACGACCTCGTAGCCAGCAGGGCACTCGATCGCCGCTGCGCCTGTCATATTGAACGAGAAATTCGACGTCGCAATAAATTCATACTCCTTTTTCAGTTGATTTCGCGAATTGTTTTAGAATATATTGAATGAGACAGTTTGATATAGGAAGGAAGAGGCAAAATTCCTCAAGAATTTCCCAAGCATAGGAAATAACAAATATTCTTCAACATAGAAAATAAATCACCAAATAGACTAAAAACTTAAGAGCAAAGAAAACTCCACAAAAATTCATAGTATCTTTAAAGAAAACGTTTCGGAGTCCAGCTCCATCGTCAGTTCGAAAATTCTAGAACACAGATAAATCAGTGATTAGTACAAGTCAAGAATACAACGAAAATCCTAAGCTGCAAAACCTACCTATTTACAATTTCAAGCGGGTAAGAGCTAAAAGCTAANTCTAGAATTTTCGAACTGACGATGGAGCTGGACTCCGAAACGTTTTCTTTAAAGATACTATGAATTTTTGTGGAGTTTTCTTTGCTATTAAGTTCTTAGTGAATTTGCGATTCAAGCAAACGAGTGATATTATTACCAAATAGACTCTATTATTGCTTAGACATGTTAATGCTACCTGAATGTCAACTGTACGCGCACAAAATTTGGTCAAGATTTACAATATACTAAAGAAAATTGTCTTCTTCAATATATGTAATTTCGCTAAGTTGAACAATTTAAATTTGGCGTATCTCAGCATATATAAATAATATAAATTCTAATGACCCCGAGCATGTGTTAGAAGAAGCTATACGTATTCTCGAAATACTAGTACAAGTTTTCCATATTGTCTGCTAATGATCAATTATGAAAAAATAACCTAAGAATCAAACATTTTAAGCGTTAAAATTTCTCGCTCGTTCATACCATTTTATTCTGTATTTCAAGATTCGCTATGAATATTAATCAAAAGTGGAGGCCATGATCCTGAATAGTCTTTTCACTGCTGCTTTAGTCGAGCCAAATAAAGTAAGTATCAGTACTCAGTTAATTGCAGTAACAAACCGAAACATCCGAAACACGTCACCACAATTGTCAAATCTTCGTCAAAAAAAAATCCTACAAGCATAGTTAACGCCACATCAACTGGAGATCTATACAGTGAATAAATAATTCAAAGGTATACTCATATTGCAGGAGAGTACGTCCCAGGGCACGTAATATTCCTATATGAAGGCTCGCATTAGGTAAGCGTTACCTAATTCATTCATCACCCATTCATTACCTATGAGGATGATACTCACCTGCGACAAATAACAACACGCAGACGATGACGACAATACATGTGACACGTAACAACAGACAGATAATGAAGAGGATACCTGTGACAAGTAACAACAGACAAACGACGAAGATGACACTAACCTGCGATAAGCAACAGCAGACAGATGATGAAGATGATACTCACCTGTGACGAATACAATCAGACAGAAGATTTTCTTGAGACTCATAATTATGGGTTTGCAAGCGGCGTAACCTGCGTGTTTGTTCTACCAAACTGTTCGACTTGCGAGAAAATTCTCTTTCTTTACAGACGTGGAGAAAACCGCGTTCTTTTGAGACAGTCTCGGGCACACTGAGCGTGAGCCTGATCACCAGCTTGTATTTATGGCACATTGATCGCCGTATATAATGCATTTACTACACTGCATGTCACAAGGTATACATGGCAAAAGATATTCCATTAGATTGTGTTTCTAATAATATATTCATACCGTGCGAAGTTGTAGTCTTTCTCACAGCTGCTGCAGATAGCCTGGCGCAGCGCTGCATGAGGTGCATACACAACGTACACTCAAATATTGAAAATAATACAACACAAGGCCATTCTTTGTATTTTAAATTGAATTATTGCGAAGTAACCTACCATTAGCAATTTTATGAAATCGATGTTTAAGAAGTCGTGCATGTTGTACGCGGGAGTTTTATTAAAGCCTCGCAGATCACACGTCGCGTGTTGGAGCACAGCGTGTTGGAGAACCTGTACCTCCACGCAGAACTGAGCTCCAGGCAGTTCTCCACGCCAGGGTTGTCGGGTTCTGAAGGTCCATCACCATACTGAAGAGGAAATAAAGGATAAAATATGCTAAACATTTATATTTTTCATTCATATGATTTGAATAGCTATATATAATTTGGATAAATGTAATTTTCCGCATGAACTACCGGGTATCAAAGTTTCAAACACATGATCTTGTATCCAAATAAGTAAATAACAGCCCAATTCATACGGATTGGGCTGTTTTCCAAACAGATACAAAGTAATGAGACCTTCATTACTTTGGTCTACCACCAAATTCATTTGAATTGCCGTTTTGAGCTAATTCAATAAGTTATAAATTCATGGGCAGAGTGGCCCAGTGGTTAAAGTTCAGAGTACTAGGATTGGCGCAGAGAGGTGCGGGTTCGATCCCAGCTCTGTGCGCCAGTTTCTGGTCAGAACCGGCAAGGAGGCCGGGCGGTTAAGCGCAGCAGAATTGTAACAGTGAGTTGCGAGTTCAAGACCGCGAATTGCTGTGAATGTTCTGCGATGTTAAGAATCGGCGACAGGCCTACGGCCTAATAAACGCTGAAACCGCTATATTATTATTATATATATATCTCCGTTGCAAGTTTTTGATACAAAGAGTTTCAATGTTGATTAGGGATGGAGTCGAGCTGCGAACCACATTTAAAAAGCAGTGCAGAAAAGAAAATAGGCCGCCACTGAGAGGAAAATTCTGCGTCGATGTTCGCCTACCGAGACGTCAAGGGAATCTGCCAAGACCTCCAGCGACAGAAAAAACCTTGCCAACCCTGACTGGATTGAAGCAAAGATGTAACCCGTAATTTTCCGCTATGTTGCTGACTTTTCAGTGAACCGAGTCGGAGTTTGAATCAATTCGTATACTCAATGGAGATTTACTTCTTTCAGGATTCTGGCATTGATTTTCCCGCTTTTAGATTGTATTTCAATGGAATTTATTCTCAAATAATTATTTCCATGTTTTATATTTGGTGAAAAGTTTCCCTATTAATATAATCTCCACGTTTAAATTGTCTTACATTTGACCAGTACGGAAGCCCTATCACCATCGGCGAACCATCAAACCAGCGCCACTGCCCTTCCCAGTCTTCATCGGAGCCACCGATTCAGTATCCATACGTTTCATCGTGGCCTTGTCAATGTAAAAAAATATAAAAACACAACTATTTATAAGTTTTCAACCCATATGTAAGCCCAGTGTTAGGTCAGATTGAAGTTGGTCTAAAAGGCATCACTAAAATTCATAGCAAAGATAAGGTCAGGTAAAACGCCGGAATGTGGTTGGTTACCTTGTTTTTCGAGGTAAGCGGCAACTTTGATATACTGGTCGCAGTCATCCAGAATTACCAGATCTCCTCCAGTCGCTCCACACTGAGTGCGCGCGGTGCCCCAGTTATAATCGGTCAGAAGTAAGTGAATACATTGCGTGCCTACCAAGACGTACGGACTTGTGCATAAACCTGCATGGAAGGAAAAGTTGATGCGATATCAAATAAAATGAGGATTAAATAAAAAGATTAGTATATTGAGGTTGCATGGATGATTATTTTATCATTTCAATCAAGTTGTTATGATTATATTTCAAACCAAGGAAATGCTACAAAACACTTCATCACGAAAAAGGCAGCACTTTTGGACAAAAAGGCCATTTACATGAGCACGTTCGCCATAAACCAACTTCAAATCCGGTGTTGCAAGTTATTGTCGAAATGTAGAAAAAACTTTAAATCTAAAAATATTTTTAGTCCAACATAGACCCAGGAGTTGAAGTGAAATTCATTTTTCGATATACTGGCCCGTATGCTAAATGGGACACTAGTACTACGAAGTAGCACTACGCACTACAAGCCGTAGTGCGGTACTAGTGCGACATGGAACACTACGGTTGGCATGCTAAATAGGGCACTAGCACTTTGAAGTAGCACTATGCACTACAAGCCGTAGTGCGACATGGAACACTACGGTTGGCATGCTAAATAGGGCACTAGCACTTTGAAGTAGCACTACGCACTACAAGCCATAGTGCGGCATGGAACACTACGGTTGGTATGCTAAATAGGGCACTAGCACTTTGAAGTAGCACTACGCACTACAAGCCATAGTGCGGCATGGAACACTACGGTTGGTATGCTAAATATGGCCAAAAGCATAACGCGCACTACAAAAATCTAAAGTGTCCTACACACCGCACTTCATGACGACACTACGGTATATTTCACCTTGTTTACTTCGTCAGCTATGGATCTGTTTGGCTTACAGCAAAGGCATGCATCATAGCGTAAAAACCTCAGGAACTACATGCCTTGAATATAAAAAATGGAACCGCTTCAGTGAACAACATGTTATTCTTATGGCTGACATTTTCCTTGGCGAAACAGATGAACAAGGTAGAAGTAGAAAATACTTTTCTTGTTTTTACAACACTTCTCTTTAACTTCACTTCTTGTTTGTTTGTCTGTCTGTCTGTCTGTCTGTCTGTCTGCTACAAATCATGTAATCGAAATTTAATACACTTCTATTTATCCTATCGATTTGAAATTTTGCACACTTGTGTAAAGTTGGAGACAATGCATGAATCAAATAACAAAATAAATTATTTAAAAATTAAAAAAAAAATTTTTTCAATATTAAAAAAATTGAAAAAATAATTTTGTCAGCTACAAATCTTATAACTGATATTTGACACACTTTTACCTGTCTAATTGATCTGAAATTTTGCACACTTGTGTGAAATCAGAGGCAATGCATGAATCAATTAATAGAATAAATAATTTTGAAAAAATTGTATATTAAAAAAACTTATAGATTAAAAAATTTGAAAAATTAATTTTTTTAATATTCAAAAATTAAATGAGAAATTCATTGTACATGTACATCTGTAAGATTGAAGACACTGGATTCGTTGGAAGTGTTGTCTTTAAAAAGTAATTTTTAAACGTATATTATTGATACCATGTTTTGAATTTTCTTTTTTTTTTCTGGAGTCATTTTGAATTCTTCTGCAAGAACTTTCCATGCTTCTCTCTTTTGTTCGATGTCTTTGGTAAGCGATGGGAAAGGTGCGCAGACGCATTGCGAATTTCAGCTCACCATCACAATTTTCACTAGTACCATTACCATCACAATTAGACATTTACATCAATCTTCTGCAAAGAATGAGAATTTCTTAGGGAATAATTAATTATTTGAGCACTTAGCTACCATTCTCCAATAGACTCATAGCGTAGTGCGGCACTATAAAAGTACTCTAACAGCGAAGTAGCACTTCAAAGTCTTTCTGCATACCAATCAGTAGTGCGACATTATAAGCGACACTAAACATTGTAGAGCTACTTCGAAGTGCTTAGTATCTGTGACGTATTTAGCATACCAACAGGACACTTCGTAGTGCATAGTGCTACTTTGTAGTGCTAGTGCCCTATTTAGCATACGGGCCTTTATTTTTAAAATGACAAGATGTTTGAGATTCGTCCATTTTTTACTATCAGGGAGAATGACCTTGTACAGAAGAAATGCCCTCACCATCCATTGGAGTTCTTGAGCACACAGAATAAACTGTACTGCTAGTGGAACAATGCGCATCATTGAGCAGCCAGCCCCTAGGAAGGGCAATCACAGCACAGTTTTCATTCGTTCCGCCACCGGGCTCTATCCATCCATTATATCCTGCAATATTCTATGGGAACATTACACTAATCATTAATCATAATTTCGTAAAAAAATCCAAAATTTACCGCTATTCTATGAACGGAATTAATGCTACGGCGCTTCTTTATTATGAGAATATTTCAGAAAGTTGCTCAGTCATTAATTCGGCAAGATTTGTGCTCCAGTAAAATAACTTATATATATAAGTCGGATTTTGGTAAGTTGTTCATACACAACTTGAATTATTGACAAAACAATGAAATCGTACGTAAATTACCCTGAATTTATTGCCTACGTTTCATGTCGTGCTTCGAAAAGTAACTGTCTTCTTTAATAATATTTTGCAACAATTCCATGCTCCAGTTATCTGTAAAGCGGATTACATTGTTGTTGTCATAAATAAAACACAGAAATTCACTCACGACCGCCCAGTACGGAGCCCCCATGTAAACAGGTGTACCGTCGTTCCACTGCCAGACGTTGTTGGCCGACGCGTCGGTTGCGCCCAACCAATAACCCATGTAAAGCGATTCTGAGTCTGATAGCATATAACGTTAAACATTAGACTATTTACAATTCAGACCTAGGCATTGGTTGTGTATTGTGGGTAGCTTCTTCGAACGATTGATATCGAATGTGAAAACAATTACTGTGGCCTGAAAATTCGAGTGTTGTGCCAAGTTTTGAGAGTCATCCAAATGCCCGAATAATGCCCCTACAGATGGATTTATATATGTCACTTCTTCAGTATAACATCGATGTAATCTATCAAAATATTACTAATGAAGGGCTACTTCTATTTGTGAAATCATTTAAGGTGTCGTTAATGCGAGTAGCCCTCTTTAAGTAATACGTTTTTGTTAGTTTATATCGCTTTGTATTAATCATGACGTTATAATCTCACATCCATCGTCGACATAAGTGGCCACGTCCGTGAAAGAAGCGCAGTCAGACAATACGGGCAACTTTCCGAAGTGTTGGTAGCAGTAAACTACCGCATCCTCATACGTAAGATATCCATCGGTCAAGCGGTGGATGCACTTTGACCCGACGACTTCATAGCCAGCTGGGCACTCAGCTGACACAAAGCCTGTTACGTCAAACAACATTAATATTACATACGGCGCAGAGTTGGCGCTATATAATTAATGAGGTTTACTATAAAGAAAACTACCGGTTCGACTGTCTCTAACTAATCTAGAGGAAAGGGGAAAACTAAATGAGGAATAGCCAGGATTTTAACGAGATCATGAAACACGAAGAATTTTAAACAGCATGAGCCAAGTCTCAAACTCCCATAGGAGGCCATCTGTTTGAAAATAATTGTGTTGATGTCACTAGACAAGAATAAGAAGTGGCGCAGAAAGAGAAGTGGAAACAATAAATAGTAGAAGGCTGGCATCTGTCAACACCGGTTACTTCAACACGCAATTCGGTAGCATCTTGAATTAGATATTAAAATATTTTCAAAATTAGGCACATCAAACTAGGAGACAAATAACGAAGAGCCAAAAACAGAGTCAAGAAATCCTGTAAAGCCATCCATTTTTATCTTTAAGCTCATGCAAGTTTGTAAACTGAGAAGATCAAGAATTATTTTTTGTCTTGTTAAAGGAAGCATTAGACCAAATCGCATGGCTCCTGGAATCGTAAAAATAAACAGCGAAAAAATTTATATCCAGGATCTAGCTGGATTTAAATGCGAGTGATTCATTAAATAAATGTTCATGCAAATAAATGAAAATAAACCTGTTAGTTCTACACTCCCATCTCATATTACTGAGATTAGGTTATATTGTTTTTTACTTGAAAATTTTAATGACAAAAAATATGAACCCTAATCAATAACCGGTGAAGTTGACTGATTGCTCTATGTTTAGGGTTTAGCCCTTCATTTAGATAGGTTTTATTTAAAAAATTTAAATGCTTAGAGTTTAGTTTCTCCAGCTGTATAATAAGAAGTGCAATTGTAGAGTCAATAATATTAAAAATTATCCAAATGAAAGGTTCGTAAAATCCAGCGATGCGATTCACTCATCACTGAGCATCTTTTGGGCGTAAGAAAGAAGCAGATGAAGACAAAAATAGCTCCTCAACATGTGAAGTGCAACAGCAGGCAGATGACGAATATATGATATTCACTTACAACCTGTTATACACAGATGATGAAGACAATACTCACTTGTTATAAGTAGTAACAGACAGATGATTTTTGTCGGAATCATGATTTTGGCTCAACCGGCAGAGTAACCAGCGTATGAGTTTAGTCAAGCAGCCAAACTTGTGAGATACAAAAAGAAAATAAGTGAAGAACTGTAGGATCTTCAGGGACGGTCTCAGGAACACAGAGAGTGAGCCTGAGCACAAGCTCTATTTATTGCGGGCTATCGTCACTTTAGAGTCCAGCAGATGCAATAATTCCACCGAAATCAGAGTCTATTTACTTATAGTAACATCTCTTCAGTTCGATAAGGCTTATGAGAATAGACCAATATTTCTCGGAATTAATGTTTGTCCCACAGATGCAGATGATAGCCGCAGATACCGTCGATAAGTGAAACGGTGACTTCAGGAAATGCCAAGAAAACATCGCGAAGGTTTTCTCTTGTCATTATTATCCAAGTTTTTACTATGAAATTAGCGTGCTAACAAACTTCAACGTATCGATTTCAATTATTTCAAAGATTTATGCCCCTTTTTACTGCGCTTTGAATATATTCTCGCTAAATATGTGCAACACTGATGTTATAAGGCAAAACCAGATGTTTCTTGAAATATTGAGTATATATAGCTAGCTTTTGAACATTTACGAACCAATTCGATCCTTTTGTTTTTAAGGTCTGGACTCATTAATATTGTACACGGTTATCCGTCTTTCAACTGACTCATGCAGATACTCATTGAATTATAAATTCTCTCTCGAGTAATCAAGAACATTTGTACCTAATGTAACGAATGGTATTTCTTGGATAGGAAAACCGCGCTATAGGCATTCCTTTCCACAAGCCAATCGTTGATTTCGACTTTTTGACTGGCAACATCAGAGAAGGGTTGAATTCTCATTGTGACATTTAGCCCGCAGGCTGGACTTTTTAAATGTTGAACGCCGATGACTGCATATCATGAATTTTGGATTCCGAGTCATTTCTAAATGTCAATTTCTGATTCAATATTACTTCCTAGCATATTTTTGTCGCTTGATTTTGAGGGAGGATAAGTTTGCATTTGGGTACAAAAAATGTCTTATAGTTAACGTTCACATTTATGCCCGTATACGAATCAAATTACAAAATAGAATAGAATAGAATAGAAGTGTGTCTGCGTTGAAGAAATAGGCCCATGGCCTGTTGCCGATTCTTGAACTTTTCGTGACTTGATTCACAAGGGATCCGGCCTTTGGAACCCGATCTTACTTAAAGAAAAATAGGGAGAGAAAAGCAATTTTCTATTGCCGTATATCATATTGCGTAGTCATTATGCCTGACAGGCTGGAAGAAAGATTAGATACTGTGAAGATATTTGCACACTTCTATAACAAACAACTTAACCGCAAATGTAGCCACGTTTCACTGTTTTGCTCTCAATACTCTAGTTTTAATTTGGAAATTGATAAATCGCCTAACAGGCGAGCTCAGAATTACACATGCCATAAGTAAATAATTTGATGATTAAAGCATCTGCATTTGAGACGCAATATTCGCTAGACGCGGAAAAGATTGACGAAATGTCAGACACTGAGTTTGTGTCGACTACATCACGTGAGCAAGACCACTCCCACGACAATCGTCTGTGGGCGGAAGTACGAAGTCTACAAAAGGGTCTACTACAATTAAAGTCTACACTTTAATTAGCCGCCTTCCAGCAGCTTGCACAACCGCCACAATGTAGCTCCCATTGTAAGAGTTACTCCGGCCTAATGGTCGATTATGTTAGCCGTCTGTACCTCTGTAATGACTCTGTAGCGTAATCACCCTATATCAAGATAGACAAAGTGTGTCTTTACTTATACCTCACATAGTCGTCAAATGCCTAAATCCTCAGGTTAAGCTATGTACTATACGAGGGAAATTTATTCATTACCCTGCAACAGTGGCATCTTAACATTGTCTCAGGAAAAAGTGCCGACCGAACATAGAATTTTTCAAACATAGAGCAGCAAAATTTACAAATTTAATGATGAATCTAACATATCTTTAAAAAGATTGTATAGAGGTTTCCATAAAAAATGCCATATGATCCTGTAACATTGCTTGAAAGAACTACCAATCATACAAAAATTTCATAAGCAAACCACAAAGTTTTAGAGAAATCACGCTTATCAAGCGACAACTAGGAAGATCGAAGATCAAGGAAAATTTGTAACTCAGTTTTGAACTAATCGTATCGATATTAATTCGTTGTTAAAATAATTGATCTGGGGACTGCCAGAAAGTTGTCTGTCAATTGCTAACCCCCATACTCAACCATGCAAACCGATGAAAGTCATTAAGGGTTTCCACATCCTCCTCCCACCCTCCAACGATAACCCAACCGCAAGCACCTTTCGCAAATCTAATTGTGGGCATCATAGCGCCTCATTTCGCCTCCTCTAAATATTTGATTTTATTGTTTCAGACCTCACTGTGTCACTCCGTGTTCTTTCCTACTGTCCTGTGCAACAGGATTTATTTTCTTTTCTTTAGTATTAAGTTCCTTTATGTGTATTTTTTCTTCATGCACCTAGTGGCAACACTCTAGGAACCATTCATGAGCCGCTACGTCTCGCACGTCAGTTGTTCCTTATCTACACACACGCGACGACTAGGTTATTTGGTGTTATTTGCTGTCACGTCTTTTCCAGTATTCCAAATTTATTAGTCTGAAATATTACTTGAGCAATATGATGACTTTGTTATATGTATATTTATGTTCATTTATTTTATCATTCGTTTAGCACGCAGATATCATTCAACGTGTTAGTAAAACTTTCATGCTTAGATCGTAAATCGTATTAGGGACTGTAAATTCAATTGTGGAAAATCTTCTATTCAGGATTCAGCCAATAGGGCCAAGCACATACGTAAGTTGATTTGTGATGAGTTCAAGAATTTCTTCCTTGTTGCCACATTGTCTATGTGATCATATTTTGATATATTGTTCATAGCCTCGCAGATCTAGAGGGGCTGCGCCTCGCAGATCTAGAGGGGCTGTGCCTCGCAGATCTAGAGGGGCTGCGCCTCGCCAAACTATTGCCAAAATAATCAGATACGTACTGTATTATGAATATTAAGACCGGCCATGATTTTACTGGCTTACATTGCTGATTACATTTACTCTTATTTTAGTCTATTTGACGTAGCCATCAGCCAGGGTTCACAGGTGAGGTACATAACTAATGCATTAAAATATATAAAAAATACTGTTTCTTACTAGTAATACTCTAGAATCACTACACACGTTACTGCTGTTTGCTTCTCGCCACCGGCAGTCCAATAACATATTAAAATCATGCAACGCACAGAAACAATATGATTGTTCTTTTCATTGCTGTTCATTATCTACATACATTTTCGTAATCTTCATATACTTTCTTAGGTGTTTAATTGCAGAGCAGATGTAATGCTTACCTACTCTTTGTTCTACACAAGCAATGATTCCCATTCGGAATGACCGAATTTGAGTCGCATTCAATATCAATTTTCTCAGCTGTATTTTTTCAGGCGGATAAATTTGATATCCAAGCCCATGCGGATGAGAGATGCAAACCCATGATTACATGATTAACCATGATTAACTTATCAGTAACGTCTTATTGTTATCTCGATAAATGTCTCGTGTTACATTTACAGCGGTCTAACTGTCACGAAAACTTCTCGTGAAACTTGGAGCTCACGAATGCGAATTCAATTTTCGTGGACAAATCGTAAGCACTACACAGAGCGCCTGGCATTTAAATATTTAAATATTACACGCACGACAATAACTCGAAAAAATTTAATATAGCGAGCAGTAATTGCGCAGTCACTATAAGGTGTTAGGTGCCTTATCGGTCATCGACTCCACGTATCAACTCGTGTGTAGATATCGGGGATACAATCTACGGCCGGATTCTTTATAGTTTTATCTATGAATTGGGCGCTTGCCGGAGACCAGCTTCGCCCAACTTCACTTTATTATCATATTCCTTTCCTTGAGTAAGAACGCTACAGGGAAAAGCAGCCTATAACGTCTAGTTCTCAAAGCCACACGTACCGCCGTATGTCTACAAGCATCGCTGTAGCGTGATCACACTTCATCTGGCCGAACCTATTCCCGCCTAACCTACACACATTGCAACATTTCACCACCCAATACGAACCTAAGGGGACCTAACCTAACCTCATTAGCTGCTGGCCGTTAGAGGGGAGTGGCAAGTGAGACTGGCAACTTCTTGCAGCCAGTCAATGGCTGCAAGAAGGTTGTGAGTCGGGCCAGCGTGAATATGTAGGCCAAAGTAGGTGAGGCCGGATGCAGAATTGCCTGCCTATGAGCGAGCATGTTGAAGTTTCATACGCGATACTTTTTCATCTTTTTGACATTTTTAAACGGCCCTGGTGTCAAAAATGAATCAAACGAAGGAACTAATATAGTGCATACATCGTTTTTTTTCGCACATTGATAACTTTTCCGCACTATTCTGCAACCGAATTGCAAAAAGTTAGAAAAACGTTCCACCCTATTTTGCAGCAACTAGACGTGGAGTCGCGGCAGCTACAACACAGTTAATCAATGAAGGGCGGGCGTGGCATGTATGTCTAGTAAGAGAAGGTAGGCTACATGGGAGAAATAAAAGACTTTAAAAAGCATTGGTGTCATTTATTTGTCATATTCAACACAGTTGCACCATCACGCGTCAAGTAGATACAAGCTACACTAAATGGTCCCTATGACGATCTGAGCGTTGGCTATGGCGATCTTAACGAAAATGACGTACAAGTTTTGATCAGCCATCTTACTTACAAGTCAAAAATAGCAGGGTATTATTACCACAATAAATTACGGGATGATGAAAGGGTTTAGAGAAATCAATTTGAATTAAAGACTAATCTAGAAAAGAAAACAAAAATAATCATAATAAAAGGATGATTGTGGCCACTGCAAGGTTAAGCCCCAGTGTGAAGGGTGAGCAACGTCAGCGCCTTCGTCAGGTCTGAGATGGACGAAGGAACCCGGGACGTGACTGCCACGAATGCCGCCGTCAGCACGTCAGGAGCAGCTTCGTGCATGGTCAGGATGACGTCCGGAAGTTTTTCACACGCGCATCTGGCGACGCTGCAGTCGGAACTGTGCAGGGCGTGCAGTACTGCAGCAACAAACTGCGGGGCCAGAGAAGGGTCATGCAGCAGAACTTTGGCCGTGAGGCCCCAAGCGATGTCTCGGATCCCCGATTCGGAGTTGTGAAGGCCCCAACACAGGAAGTTGGGGAAACGTCGGGCCACGATTGCCATGGGGGCCCTGGAGGCGAAGTTGCTCAGCAGCCGCCACGCCTCGGACTGCTCCTCCCCAGGCTTGGCGTGCGTTAATTTCGCCGTTACAGATTCAGCCTCCCCGTGTAGCCAGGCGGTGTTGGGGAGTGGCAGCGCAGGGGCGTGCAGAGTGGGGTCCTCTGTGGGGATTTGCATAGGGGTGGTGGGAGCCGATGCTGCCGCCACCGCTAGTGACCGCCATTCTTTTGTTTCTAGAGACAAAGACTTGAGAAGTGCCGTCTTGGGGACCAGGTAGAGAAGCGCCCGAGGCCGGTCTGTAGCCAGCCAAGCGTGGATGAGATCAACCACGCGCGTGGCCACCGCCATGAGATCCGGCGGGGACCCATGGCGGCCGAAGATGTCCAGGTAGCAATCGAATATGCGGGCGACGGCTTGATTGTGTCGCAGACTGAAAAGGTGTGGGTGCAGGAGTTCCAGCACTCCAACCACGACCAACAGCACATCGAAGTTGTTGTTTCCTTTTAGAGCGATCAGGTTGAGGGGCGTCAGACCTCCTAATCCAGAGAAGATGAGGTGGCTGTGCCGCAGCACCAGAAGTGGATGTCGGCAGGCCAAAGTACGGATGGCGGCCTCCATATCAGGGAGCCGTTTGCGGAATTCTCGCCCCGGGACCGGAGAGCAGATCATGGTCAGAAGGCAATGAATAGCGACATCAGCGGCACTCTCGCCATCATCTTCGTCAGCAGAAGCCATGACGGGGAGGAGGACTCGTGCTTCGCTTGTCATGAGGGTCAGCACACGAGGACGACGAAGGTAAAGTTGGAACAGCAGCGATCGATTCGCCTTTCGTTCCGGCGTGTCCACAGGAAGAATCGAGGACTGGCAAAGTTTGCTGATGAGGTCGGCATAAAGCGCGTCGTTGTCTCGATACCATTGCAACAGAAGAGGCAGTCTGTCGGGTGCCTTGGTCTTGTGTTCGGTATTGATATCAAAATATTCGCACTTCTCACCGAGAACGTAAAGGGCAAGAGTCTGGAGATGAAGGGGCTGCAGACGCATCAAAAGTGGATCTGATGCATGTCGAGGAGTCCTTCTTTCCCGGCCCTGCCATAATTTAGGAACTCTGGTCACCGCCCACACGAAATCCAAAACTCCTCCGGGGTTGAGCGAAGGATCGTATCCTCCAAGGAGTTCCTTCACGGTCTGTTCTAGGGTCTTCCAGTTAGCCTGCTGGGTGAAGGTGCCTAGAAGATACGCCTGACTGTAGCCACCAAGGCCAACACCCAGGGGCTTATCTTTATACTTGGAGAAGAGAAGCATCTTACGCAGAGGCTGCGGAGTCTCGAGCAGTTCTGGATCTACGACGTGCAGCCAATCAAGGAGTAAAGCTATTGAGCGTCTGGGTATCTTCGTCTCTGTCTTGACGTGCGCTGAGAGCAGCAGGAGACGTGACAAGGCAGCTCGCACTGTTGTTAGTTGGCCGCACTTGACGGCGATTTCGACGAGCGCCCTGACATGTCTTTCAAGCGCGTGTGACGGGGTGGCCATCAGGCTGCACAACACGTCTTCTTCGTTGTTAATATCGCATTGGGTGTGCAGGCCCCGCGATGATATCGTCATGGTTGTGCGATCAGCAAGTGAGGTAGACTTCACGGTACCCGGATGTAAGGTAGGTTTGATGGTACCTGGAAGTGAGATGGTGGTTGTCATATTGAGTGTTGCAGGGAGACTAACTTCTTTGGACTTAGAAGCAGTGGTGGAAGTTGTCAAGTTAGCAATCGAAAAAGAAGAAGATCTCGGTTCATAAGCAGGTTGCAGAGGAGCTACCACCACTTCCCCCACAGGGAACATCTTAAGAACGGCAGTTAGAGGCGTGGAAGCATAGAGACGAGCGTGGTCCAGACGGAGGATTGAGCTGACGATGTTGAGGCACGGGACGAGGTGGTAGGGGTCTTTGACGCGAGGCAGGTGCAGGAGGAGGCGGAAGAGAGGAGCTGAGAGGTCGTAGTGGTTGTGGAGACCCTCCAGGAACACGGAGCAGGAGCTCTGCAACGCAAATACGTTCATTTCTTATATGTGCCCGTCGAGAGATTATGTAAGAAATTATTATATATAGTTTCTTATATTTGCCCGTCGAGAGATGAGGAGAGCTAATGAGATGTCAGCCATTTCAGTGTACGAGTTTGTATGGTAATAAACTCGTACTTGTTTGCCTGGTAATAAAACAATATTAGTTTACCACACAGAAAACATATACACAGATAAATTAATAACGCATATGAATGAATTAAATGAATAGAAACCAATCGCTGCACTGCAACATTCATGTTACACTGTACGGCAATTCAAGTATAAGATTCAGTGCATGAATCCATCATTAAGAGAATTCAAAGGTGCGCCTTTATCTTACTAAAAAAGGATAGAACTCCACGTATTAGATTTGAAATAACATACAAGGATTAAAATCATAAATGATAAATTTTTTAGCATCACTATAACTTAGGGAAGTGAATTACCCGGTGCTGTAGGCAGTGCGTGAAGGCGTCGAAGAGCTCCGACAGGAAGGGCCGCAAGGGCACCGCGCTTTCCCCTTCTGGAGTCCCTGTCGAGGGAGTAGAGGGAGCGGCGCCCCCGCGCAGCTCCTGCCCGATGTGGTGCTGCACCAGCCGCATAGTCTCGCTGATCTGCACATGTAACGGACCTAATTATTAACGTAACGTACCTAATTATTATTAGTAGCGTAGCTGATTAACGTAGCGGACTTAATTATTAACGTAGCGTACCCTAATCATTATTAGTAGCGTACCTAATTAACGTAGCGGACTTAATTATTAACGTAGCGTACCCTAATTATTATTAGTAACATACCTAATTAACGTAGCGGACCTAATTATTAAGAGCCTTTCCTAGTTACATGTTCAACGGTGACCAGCCTAATAAATGAAGGCAATTCGTGCATATTTAGCAAATAAATCACGTCAAAAACTGGATGTTTGGTTGAACCCAGCGCAATTAAATGAAACATACATGTTTCTAGTAAAAAACTTCACTGGTAAAATTCTCAGTTGACCGCAGCAATTCTGACAGAAAATACTGTCCAAAACGGTACATTTTTGTGAGTTTTGTCCTGAATTTGAACACACAAAGCGTCCTACATCATCGTAGAAGACTTGACCGTCTGTAGATGATGACCTCCTGGTATGAGTGCGGCTGTATGAGCCGTCAGTACCTCCCATCACCCACCATCAGCACCTCAAACTGGGCGACAACCCCCAGGGGCCAAGAACAAGTCCCCCCATTCCCCCAGGAAGTGAACGGGGAGAAGTCCCTGTCCAGGGGATGTTCGGCCCGGATTCTACGTATGAGGCGGCGGGTGGAGGGGCTCTGGGAGTGGGGGGCAAGTGAAGTGAACAACTTGCAGAAGGCGGAGGAGATCTTGCGCTGAGATGAGAGGGTATTCAGACCAAATTGGATTGGCTGATTGGGGGGAGGACGGTTACGCTTTCCTGCTAGGGAGCGTAGGAGATTCCAGTGCTTGGTTTGTGGGTTTGTGCGCCTACAGCACGACGCAAGGTGTGTTCACCAAAATTTATAGCTAAGATAGGTTCAGGTAGCTCCTCAATGTGTGAAGTGCAACAGCAGGCAGATGATGAAGATGATATTCACTTGCGACAGTTATAATACGCAGATGATGAAAACAATACTCACTTGTTACAAGTAGTAACAGACAGATAATTATTTTTGTAAGAATCATGATTTTGGCTCTATACGGGCAGAGCAACCAGCGTATGAGTTCAGTCAAACATCCAAACTCGTGATTCAATTCTCCTAAGTGAAGAACTGTAGGATTATCAGAGGTGGTCTCAGGCACACAGAGAATAAGCCCGAGCACAAGCTTTATTTATTGCGAGCTATCGTCACTTTAGAGTCCCGCAGATGCAATAATGCCACCGAAATCAGAGTCTATTTACTTAGTAACATCTCTTCAGTTCGATAAAGTTTATGAGAATAGACCAATATTTCTCGGAATTAATGTTTGTCCCATATAGGCGCAGATGATAGCCGCAGATACCGTCAATAAGTGAAACGGTAACTTCAGGAAATAACAAGAAAACAACACGAAGGTTTCCTCTTATCATTATCCAAGTTTTTACTGTGAAATTAGCGTGCTAACAAACTTCAACGTATCGGATTGAATTAATTCAAAGATTTATGCCAAATTTTACCACGGTTTGAATATATTCCGGCCACATATGTCCAACACTGATGTTATAAGGCAAAACCAGATGTCTCTTCAAATATTGAGTAGCTGGCTTTTGAACATTTACGAACCAAATCGATCCTTTTGTTTTTGGGGTCTATACTCATTAATATTGGACACGGTTGTCCTTCTTTCAACTGACTCATGCTGATACTCATTTAATTATAAATTCTCTTACGGGTAATCAAGAAAATTTGTAACAAATGTAACGAATGGTATTTCTTGGATAGGAAATACCGCGCTAGACATTCCATTCCACATGCCAATCGTTGATTTCGATTTTTTGACTGGCAACATCAGAGAAGGGTTGAATTCTCATTGTGACGAAGGCTAGACTTTTTCAGTGTTGAATGCCGTTGACAGCATGGCATGAATTTCGGGTTCCGAACTATTTCTAAATGTCAATTTCTGATTCAATATTACTTATAACCATATTTTTGTCACTTGATTTTGAGGGAGGATAAGTTTGCATTTGGGTACAAACGATGTCTTATAACGTTCACATTTGTGCCCTGTGTAAGAAAAAAATTAAAGAAGTAAATAGGGAGGGAAAAGCCATTTTCTATTGATGTATATCATGTTGCGTAGTCATTATGACTGACAGGTGGGAGGGAAGATTGCCTCTACTTTAACCACTCGACTGTGAAAAGTCAACGAATGAACAGACGACGTGCTATAGTTTATATTACAGCTCTCCAGAAATACTGAGATTATATTGTTAGTTATTATTATTTCCAATTCCAGCTGGTCAGATTTAGCTTTTCCCTGCCGTTTACAATTAAACGAAAACATACTTTGTAATAGTATCATGCTCCTTAGTTTATAAGTTGACACGGGAACATTCTGAAAGCAAAAATGCTATAAGATACCAAAAAATGGGAGATCAAAGGACAATTTTTTGCAACATTTCGCTGGATTTCACTGTTGATTTCTGTTGCTTATAATTGTATAAAAACGCGTTGGTAAGTTGCATTAGATAGAACAACCAATTTAATCTGAATCGAGTTAAGATCGAATCCGTCTCCGATTCAGAGAATCTTTCAAACGTGACATAGCCAAATGTAAGAACTTGATGAATACTCAAATGAATATCTAACAAATTAGTTGGAGTTTGTAATAAAACAATTTGCTTGTGGACCCAGTAACATTAATAAGCTACCAATTATGAAAAGAACGCGGAGACAAATACAAAAGTATGGACAACTTACATTTATTAAAAATAATTGAAGATCGAAGAAAGAATCATTTATACCCGTTTTTCACAACTGTTTGATCGTATGCAGTTTTGCCTTCACGATTAATCCATCTACAATTTTCACTACAAATAAAGATACGATTAACGTTGTCCCGTAAATACAAAAATTTATATATTTAGAGCCCAAACTTCAGAAAATATCCAACTTTCGGTCACAATCTCAATCATGATTGGATCTTACGAGTACAAGAAAATTTAATTGCATAAAAATGAGTTACTGATCGAAGAATAAAGATGCAAAATACAAAACCTCTACATTTTATTTTCATATGACGTTGTCATTGAATACTGTGAAGATATTTGCACACTTCTATAACAAACAACTTAACCGCAAATGTAGCCACGTTTCAGCGTTTTGCTCACAATACTCTAGTTTTAATTTGTAAATTAATAAATCGCCTAACAGGCAAGTTCAGAATTAAACATGCCAACCCCAATATACATAAATAAAAAATTTGATGGTTAAAGCATCTGCAATTGAGACGCAATATTCGCTGGATGCGGAAAAGATTGATGAAATGTCAGACACTGAGTTTGTGTCGACTACATCACGTGAGCAAGACTGTGGGGTAACTGCCGTACGTTACCCGCACAGTGAGGAAATTACAAGATTGGAAATGAATCGAACTGGATCAAGTCATTCAAGTGAATTTATTTGATACGGCAAGGAATGCAGAAAGAGCAACAGTAATAATAGTAATAATACCCTTGGCAACGTGAGAACCTGTTCGAGAAGTATATTTTAAGATGAGACAAATAATAGTACAATATAACCAGTTACGCATATAAACAAAGAAACTTATCTTAGAGACCTAAATCTTAACTAACCTGCTGTTGTGGAACGGCTGGGCTATACCGACTAAGGGACAAATAGAACGCGAAGTAAACTTCCTAACGGTGTTGCCAAGTCAGAGGAAAAATGATATACTCATCAATAGTCGTAATTTCTAGGTTCGCTACAAGACCACTCCCACAAAAAAAAATCGTTAGTGGGTGGAAGTACTAAGTCTACAAAAGGACTGGGCACTTTAATAAGTCCCCTTCCAGGAGCTTGCACGACCGCAACAATGTAGCTCTCATTGTAAGAGTTACTACGGCCTGATGGTCGATTATGTTAGTCGACTGTACCTCTGTAAAGACTCTTTAACGTAACCACCCTGTATCAAGATAGACATTGTGTGTCTTTACTTATACTTTACACAGTCGTTAAATACCTAAATCCTCAGTTTATAATATGTACTATGCGAGGGAAATTCATCTATTACTCTGCGACAGTGGCACCATAATATTTTCCCAGGAAAAAATGCCGACCGAACAGAAAATCTTCCTTCCTGACACGTTAGAACTTTTCAAACATAGCGTAGCAAAGTTTACAATTTTAATGATGAATCTAACATATATTGAAAAAGAGTGTATGGAAGTTTCCATAAAAAATGTCATATGATCCTGTAACATCACTTGAAAGAACTACTAATAACACAGAAATCTCAAAAGCAAAGTTTTAAAGAAGTCACGGTTCTTCAGCGACAACATGGAAGACCTACGATCAAGGAGAGACATAAATTTTTGTCTTGTCGTAACTCGTAAGATGGTTTGGAGTAATTCAGGTATTCCCCTTAATTTTAATAAATATAAATTGTCTCAAGAAGATTAATATATCATATTTTTTTCTGCCGAAGACACAAATTCCTGTGTTTCAAACCCCCAACATCGATGTATGTCCAACTTTTGGTGAGGATAAAACAAGGGTTTTAAAAGCCTATTTTTCTAGATCACAATTGAACCTAGTAATCAAATTTTACTGTATATAAAATATTTTTGGATTCATCAACGGTATTTAAACATTTCATTCAACTAAGTTTAAAAATCGCTTCCCAGAGAGAAATTCATGGTGGCTGTTAATTTATAATTCTGTTTTGAACCAAATGTATCGGTAATAATTTGTTGTCAAAATAATATATCTGGGGACTGCCAAAAATCGTCTCTCAATTGCTAACCCCCTTGCTCTACCCATGAAAGTCATTAGGGTTTCCTCCTTTTCCTCCCACCCTTCAACGACAACCCAACCCATAGCACTTTTCGCAAATGTAATTGTGGGCATAGCGCCTCATTTCGCCTCCTCTAGATATTTTATTTTATTGTTTCAGACCTCACTATGTCACTCCGTATTCTTTCCAACAATTTTCTAGTGGCATCGCAGATACACAATCTTATTATGACCTTATTTGAATTATCTAAGCTCTACGAAAACATTGCTTGAGGATCTGCGCCTCGCAGATCTAGATGGGCTGCGCCTCGCAGATCTAGAGGGGCTGCGCCTCGCAGATCTAGAGAGGCTGCGCCTCGAGATCTAGAAGGGCTACGCCTCGCAGATCTAGATGGGCTGCGCCTCGCAGATCTAGAGGGGCTGCGCCTCGCAGATCTAAAGGGGCTGCGCCTCGCAGATCTAGAGGGGCTGTGCCTCGCAGATCTAGAGCTGTCTCTTATACACATCTAGATGTGTATAAGAGACAGGCATGGAGGTCACCTACAAGATGTAATATTCAAGAATTAAACTTGTAAGTAAACCCAACGAAACTTTAAATGTAGCTCTTTGTAAAAAAGAAAGAATTAAAACGCTATCTTTAATACTTTTTACTTTGTGATTTTTTTAAAAGAGTAAGTTCCCACGCCGCACCCTGTATAAGGTGCATGATATCGCGATGGCAATACTCTTATTGTTTGCATTATGAAAGTATTTTAGAATGCTTAATTTGTTTGTAAAGGTTTATTCACAAAATCTTCCTGTTTTGTATTTCATGTAAATGATGTAAAGCAGCCAGATGTTGTGAGAACAGAGCTGGGAGTATTTCATATGAAAAGCAAAGTCTTGAAGTATTGTTTCCCGCCTAGTTAGTTGCCACTATGCATCTTACAAGAGAGGTGTGTGCGTTTGCTGTCGAGGAGTATTTTTCTAATGGCCGTTTTGCAGAGTCATCTCCGTATGAGACATTTTGCAGAGCGCCTCATCTCCTAGAGAGGGTACCTTCTTTGGCCAGCCCGATCCCTGATTTGGCTTCGTTCGATATTTTATGTGATTATCTTAAATCAATTGTTTACAATGACTGTCCAAGGACCTTACCTCAATTGAAGAACAACATACGTACGCCAAACCATCGCCAACATACCCATCAATAAGCTTCAGCGAGTTGAACGAAACTCCCAAAAATCGACTAATAACTAAATGCATTGACTATTGGGGCCATCATTTGTACGATGTCATCTTTAAACTAGATGATGTAAAAATTCAGGTAATGTGTCACGGCATCAGTTCCCTGGCTACAGAGATTTCCGCCTCGGGTTATCGAAGTCGTTCCATTGAAACTTTATCGAGATTTGGGTGGCAACCTAAACGTAATCTGCACAATTATAAAGAGTAATTTAGAATTTAGCCTATTAAATAACCGTCGTTCTCTATCGGCAATGATCTGGCAAGTTGGAGATTTTAGCCATATAGCTTTTAATTTATAAACAAATGTAGCAAGTCTAATTAACGCGCAAATAGCAAATTGCCTGAACGATATAATAGTGGAGAACGTATTTCAGAAAAAGTACCAATTACAACGAAGCAAGCAACTTACGAGGTTCACGGCCCCATGCATCGCGCTACTAGCGCGTGGAGATGTTCCGAACACTGCTGCCTTCTGACTAGCGGTAAAAATACGTGCTAGTGACATATCGCTTTGACGTAGAATTTCCTCTAAGCAAAGTCACAAATTAACTAAAATAATAAAAACAGTGTGTACGTTTAACCATAACTATGGTCGTAAATTACTAAAGTTACGCGAGTTACAAAATTACAGCCGCAACATAATGCCTTTTTCAATCAAATTTATTTTATAATAATATCATAATCAGGTCTTTTTTCATTAGGTTTTCAAATCAGTGAGTTTTCATGAATCATCCTGTAGTATATCTCAAATTTGAATGAGTCATATCTAGTTGTGCCATAATATTCAGTTACTGGTTTAACACTAAACCATTATACTAATTAAATTTTTTCAATTATTTTCAAAAAACTAATAATATATACCGGTATTATACTAATTTGAAAAGAGGCGAAAATTTTTTCACATTACATTTCGATGTAAAGGAATTTCATGTTTAATTTAAAATTAAAGTATGAGTGTTATTACACTCTTCATTATAAAATACAAACACAAAAATACTTGAAGAATTTTGCCGCCCTGTTCTGCTATCGACGGTCTGCATGGCGGCATCTCACGTTTTTTATAACGAAGTGTAATACTGATCCACCACAGAGCTTATTGAAATAAATATATGTAAACATTTCACTGGATAATTTATTACTATGGCGAAATGAAATTAACGACGGCCATTGAAAATCATATGCATTGCTTTTGTCATCTCCTCCAAAAATTGACTATGATTGAGTTACTTTGTATGTATAGTATGCCGCGAATGAAAAGCGTCATTTCATTGAGTTGCACTTGCCAGGATTCAAGCGTATTTAGTATACAGTGTATTGTATAGCTTGCATTTTAGTTTACGGTACTCTCAAGTTAGGTATGTGCAAAATCTTTGAAATAAATGTTAATATATTAAGGGGAACGTCTACCCTAAAATTGAAAATTTTCACTTTTTCGGTTTTTATACTCATTTTAAAGCTGACATTCTGCCCTATCCAACGGTACCACAACGCGGGACTTTGTCGCGCTCTCCTCAACATTCACACTTATTGTCACGGAAAACCTATCTCCTCCTAGAGTCTTGAAGCTACAACAATGAGACATCTATCATTCAATTTGCAAATAAACTATCTACAAAATGTCCATCCCGGTTTTTCTAGTTTCATTGTAGTTTGAATTTTATTCTGCAAAAATAGGGGGGTGGCGGGGAGAAATCGAAAAATTTCCAAACATTTTGGAAAAATGCCCCTCATTTCCACAAAAATTGAAATTTCAAAAAAAGGGGATGGACATTTTGTAGTTGAAGACCTCACGCATCGAATGATATGTGTCTCGATGTTGTAGCTTGGAAATCCCAAGACTAGATCCATTTCTACAGTACCCCTTTTTATAGCCGTTTTCTAAGAATTTCACGTTTTCTTTCATTTTTTTCGAAAAATTTACACGAACAAAATGCGAGTTTTTTTCCATTTTACATATGTGTACCAAGTTTCAGAGTGATCCGACTGTAAATAGCCGAGATAATTTTTAGGGTAGACGCTCCCCTTAAGTTTTCTAACGTAATATGTTGGATAAGATTAAAATATCTTACACTTCCCCAGTAAGGAAGCCCCATGACCATCGGTGAGCCATCAATCCAGCGCCATTGCCCCTCCTGGGCTTCATCTGAGCCTCCTATCCAGTATCCGGACGTCTTATAATCTTTCCAGGGGGAGATAAAAGGGGGATTAGAAATTAATTCTAAGTTTTGAATGACATTACAATGACTTCGAAATTATTCTTATCAATCAATATATTGAAACAGTTAAAACCTATTTAATGACAAACTAAAGTTTCTTCTTGGAATGCAGCTCATTGTATATGTTGAAGCTTATAGTTTCTTAGGCTTCATATAATTTGCATTTTAATTTAGTGCCTCATCGTCCAGTCAGACGATGTTAGTCTTCGTCTGATGTGGCATGGCGAATAGTTCGATCTCTAACAAAAAAATGCCTTCTGACCATTGTTGCTTTCTTTTTATGCTAATTTAATTTACTAATTCGCAAGTCAAAAATATGGTAGATATTTCTAACATGTTGGCTTGGGATAAATAATGTTTATTTATGGGACCCACTGGTCTGTGGTTATTTGTCCCACTGGTCTGTGGTTATTTTCCTATAGTTACTAAAACAGGACGGGTTGCTCGCAAGTAAATTTAGCTGTTGGCAAAGTTGTTTCATTATCGCTACTTCTGACTTTGAGTCGTTCGCTGGTAAATCAAGGGCATTGGTTCTGACAACTTCTGCTTACTGTTCAATTTAACCAATAAATGGCTGGACTGTTTGCTCAAATAGCTAAGATTTATCGTGATAATACAATGCGGCAAAACGTCGACTGTCATTCTGTTGTTTACCTTGTTCCTCGAAGTAGGTGGTAACCTTGCTGTACTGGTCGCAGTCATCCAGAATTATCAGATCTCCTCCAGTCGCTCCACACTCGGTGCGTGCAGCGCTCCAGGAATCAAAATCAGTTAGAAGTAAGTGAATGCATTGCGTGCCCACTAAGACGTACGGAGTGGCGCACAAACCTGCATGAAGAAAATGTGATGATGCACCAAAAACATGGCCGTCAAATAAAATGATCGGCAAATCGGGATCATAAATAGAAAGGAGATTTTTTATTTCTTTATTACTTCTGTTTTTTTCACGACTCAGTTAAATTTTTATGATCATATTTCAATCTTTGGTGAGACTGCAAAGCAGTCCATCCTAAATACGTAGTATTGGTATACGTAACTTGAATTAACTAATTCTTTGGAAGCTCATGTGTGTCTTTCACTAATTCCTTTCCAAGATGATCAGCACTTCAGGTCGGAACTATCTTCACATTTTTAACTCGGACCCGAGAGCGGCAACGAATATTCCTTTGCAAATTATTGCCCACAAGGAAAAGCCGTTTGTGAAGCTGTAGGCGATATACTTTAGATTCGGAGAGTAGTTTGAAAATGGTCAAGATCTCACCATCGACCGGAGCTCTAGAGCACGCTGCATAAATTACGTAGTGGTCATTAGGCGTCGCGTCATTCATCAGCCAGCCCAATTCGGCCCATATCATAGCATAGTTCTCAGTTGTTCCTCCATTAGGTTCTGTCATCCCATCCAGTGCATGGTTCTGGGGGAACATGAACGTTAATCCTGCGCGTTCAAATCAATTGGGCACTCAAATCCTGAATTTACCAAAAACATTAAATCTAATTAAATATGAACAAAAATTGAATTAACTATAACGAAATTCTCTTTTGGAAAGGCTCAGTCATTAATTTTGCAACATCGATATCATAATGAAACGATTCGTTAACCGGAGCTCGGCCAGTACAATAATTCATTACGAACACGAGTGAAAAAGTAACGAAATAGAAAATAATCTTGCCTAATTTTTCTGCCTAGTTTCGTTCCTCCACTGTCTCGTTTTAAAACATTTTTATCGTGTTTTACATAACAGTTTTTAAAAATTATAAATTCACTCACGACCGCCCAGTACGGAGCGCTCATCTGCACGGCGGTGCCGTCGCTCCACTGCCAGACGCCGGTAGCCGACGAGTTGGTGGCGCCCAGCCAGTAGCCGTTGTGGGCGTTGAAACGGGACACATCGGTAAACAGGAGATGCTTTATAATTCATATTCGAGCACGGATTGTATAATGTGGAAGGTATTCAAAGTAAGTAGCAGTAAATTAGTATTATTAATACCTTTTGTCGAACCCTACCACTCTGTCAATGGCCATTGTTGTAAGTAAGTAGGGTCTTAAGACTTGCGTGTCTAGTGAAGCTCTAAAGGCCCGTTCACACTAGGGGCAACACACGGGCGTCAAGCGCCTCACCGCCCCTCTACGTGCGCTTCTTGTGGGCAACGACTTGAACGAAGCAATTGACGAGCTAGCGATTCACAGTCGCCCTGCCTCATGCAACACAAGCGCCGCACTCAGTGGACGGCTGTCTGTGGTCCAGTGAGGTAGTCCGCATGCGCTAGTCCTTCACTATGTCAACGAACGCCACACTTGTTTGGACTCACTCGCTATTATAGAGGCTAATTGATCTCTGTAGAAACCGCGAATGCCTGTAGTGTAGAGTATAAAAGTGTAGAGTGAATGCCGTGTTGAGTATAGAAGTCAAAGGAGTATAGAAGTCGAAATGTAAATAAACAAGCTCTGGTGAAGATAGTTGAAGTTTTAAAAAACTTTCGTGTAGAAGTCACCATTGACGAGGTTCGCAACAAAATTCATACGTTGCGTTCGCAATTCCATCGTGAAATGAATTTCATTGCAAATGAATTCCATTGCATATGAATTCCATCTCAATATCATCATCCTGCCTCTGGATGAGTGGCATTATTCTCTTCAGCAGACTGTCAAACAAGTTCACTGGCAGTCAAATATAATTTTGAAAGTCTGATGCATTCGCAACTGATAATTCTTTGAAAATGTAATTGTATAAGCCCTCTCTCTTTTTTGCAACCATTTTTTCACCCAAATACAGTGACGCCTACATCTTTTCTTAAACAGCAGAACACCCGAGAACTATGGCCCAGTGCTCAAATTCGGATACATTCATCCTCACTGACGTATAACTGGCAATTAATCTTCAAAGCGCGCGGACTCGAGCGACCGTGTACAAAAGTAGTGTGAACGGTTGTGTGCGGTAAGGCGCTGCACCAAGCGCCTCACCGCCCATGTCGTTGCCCCTAGTGTAGACGGGCCTTAAGAATGTAGCTAAAGAATGCCTAACTAAAGTCCAATTGATTAATTGGATTTTGTTTGTGTTTTCTTCTATACCTGGTAAATAACTTGGCTCAATGGAATAACAATGCATCTAATTAAATACAGGAATTTTATGGAAACTTGGTTATCGAGCTGAATTTTTCATCACGCTATACAACTCACATCCACCGTCGACATAAGTGGCAACGTCAGTGAAGGAAGCGCAGTCGCGCAGCACGGGCAGCCTGCCGGAGTTCTGGTGGCAGTAAGCCACCGCGTCGTCGTGCGTGAGGTACCCATCAGGCAGGCGGTGGATGCACTTGGACCCAACGACCTCGTAGCCTGCGGGGCACTCGATTGCCGCTGCGCCTGTCATATTGGACTAGGAATTTGATATCGCAATAAATTCATACTTTTTGAGAAGTTTTGCGAATTATTTTGGAATATATTGAATGAGACAGTTTGATATGTGATGGAAGATGCTAAATTTCCCTAAGAATTTCACAAGCACTGGGAATAATGGAAATTCTTTAACATGGAAAATAGATCACAAGATATGCTTTAAAATTGCTTAGACATGTACGTACTAAACTTGATCAAGATTTAATGAGAGCAGAGCAAAATTGTGTTCTTCAAAATAATTTCAATAAGTTGAAGAATTCAAATCTGACGTGTTTCAGCATATATAAATTCTCACGAGCAAGTGCAGCTGTCAGAAGAAGCTATATTCTTGAAATACTAGTATGAATTTTCCATTTCGTCCGCTAATGATCAATTAAGAAATATCAACCTATGTACCAAACTTTATAATCGTTTAAATTTCTCTCTTGTTCATACCATTTTATTCTGTATTCTCAGATTTGCTATGAATATTAATCAGAAGAGGAGGCCATGATAGTGAATAATCTTTTCGCCGCTACGTTAAGCCAAATAAAATAAATGTCGGTATTCATTTAATTTCAATATCAAACCGAAGCATGCCACCAAAATTGTCAAATCTCCGCCACAAAAAAAAATCCTAGCATAGTTAACGATGTGTGGCATAGTTAACGCCACATCAACCGGAAATATACAACAGTGAATAAATAACTCAAAGGTATATTCATGTTGCAGAGGAGCACGTCCCAGGGCACGTAATATTCCTATATGAAGGCTCGCATTAGGTATGAGTGATACTCATTACCTATGAAGATCAAGAATTTAGAAGCTAAGAAAATAGCCAGAAAATTAACCATTTCTTATAAAGGAAAACGTTTCGGAGTCCAGCTCCATCGTCAGTTTAAAACCTGAAACACATTTACAAACGATTAACAAATATTATTATTATTATTATTATTCCACGAAGACATTGTCGTGGCGTCTCGTTCAGATCGAACTTCGAGGGCACGTTACAAGCGGCTAAAAAAACACAAGATGATAAAAACAGATGACATCTATGCTAAAACAGAGGACATATGCCAATACTGACGACGTCTATACTAGAACAAATAACACCTATGCTAAACCAGTAATATCCATGATAAATTAGATAACGGCTAGGCCTAAGATTCAAAGGCTCTACGGAAAAGTTCTGTTTTTAGGCGTCGACGAAACAACGTCAGCGAAGAAGCAGATGTCACCGATGCTGGCAGACCATTCCATGTCTGTCTCTTATACACATCTAGATGTGTATAAGAGACAGGTGTAGGCCACCATCAGAGGCGTTAAGGTCGGGGCCCTGATCATTGACATGAAACCATTCCCTGTTTTTAATTAATAAAATCAATTCCTTTTTTGTTGGAATGGTGAGTGTGGGAGGCCTTTAAAAAAAATAAATAAATAAAAAAAAATAAAAAAAAATGAAGTAAATATGAGCAGACGAACCAATCTATTCACAATTTCGAGGAGATACGAACTGTTGGCGGCATTCAGTCTAGGCTCTTGTTTAAAAATATAAAGGGATGCTAAAATTCGCAGGTCAGAAACACCGGTTGTAGAGGCTAAAATTCGAAAATCACTATCGGACACCGGCACGTTGCACTGCTCGGCGTGAACGCATACTGCTGAACGAGGGGGATGTGCAAGCCGGTTTCCTGTTGTAAAACTCCTTCCTTTGTGCTCCGCCAGCCTAGTATAAAAGTTGCTAGATGTCATACCGACACACGCAGATGCGCATAGCGCACAACTATATAAATAAACTAGGGACGATCGCATAAGAACATGCAGTGTATCTTTATCTTGAAGAAGGAACTGATTTTAAAATTATTCACCAGCAAAAAGATTTACATTTGGGAGGTATTTAGAGAACAAACCTTTCAACTCTTTAGTTATAGTCTCTGAAGCGGGACCAAAGTGAGGAAATGAACAATAAACAGCATTCCTATGGTCACGTTCGGGAACAACCTCAGAATATTGCTTAGACAAAAATTTCTTGATATGAGTATATAACAATTGTAACGGAAATCCATCAAGTGAAAACGTACTGCGTAAATATTCAAATTCAGAGTGCATAGTATTGTAAGTAGAGCAAATACGAAAGCCACGGTTTATTAACGATTGAATACCAATTAAGTTGAAACGGAATGAACACCAGCTAAAAAATCTGGTGCTTAAACCGGTAAACGTCGATTTTCGGTAAACAGTGAACAGCACGTGTGTTTAAATTTTGAACTGACGATGGAGCTGGGCTCCGAATCGTTATCCTTTATAAGAAGTGGTTAATTTTCTGGCTATTTTCTTTGATAAATACAAATTCTTGATAACTTGCGATTTAAGCAGTCAAGTGATCTTAATACCTAAGAAGATGATACCCACCTGCGACGAGCAGAAGCAGACAGATGACTTTCTCGAGACTCATAATTATTATTGGATTGCAAGTTGCGTATAACCTGCGTGCGAGTTCCGCCGGCTTGTAACGAAATTCCTTTCCTGTAGATGTGTAGAATTGTGCACTCTTTTCTGGCGCACTGATAGTCAGCCTGATCACCAGCTGTACATATGGCGCATTTAAGGGGAGAATTTCGCCTAAAAAACTACTAAATTACTTTTTCAGTGTTTTATTATCAATTTTTAGGGAGAACTATTCCGAAGCGGCGGCAACAAACCTCGATGAGGTAGCTTTCATGGTTCTTTCGTGAGGCCGTTTGAACTTTTATAAAATTAAGATTTTATAACTATTGTTTATGAAGATTTCTTTAATTAAATCTGTATTTAGAGATCATTATTCACGTTAATTGCAAATTAATTGCTCACATTTGAAGGCTGCAAACAAGGCGCTTTCAATGAAGCAACAGCCATGGATGCACATGCAATACTTTTTGCGTAAGCCTGTTTAAGCTTTCACGTAATGACTATTTTATATAAATAAATACTTCAGAAAAATCACATTTATAGCTCATTATTCGCGTTAAACTTTACAAGAATAAGTCTAAATGGGCGCGATGGCGTCCTCGATACGAGTAATTGGCAATGAGAAAGCTGGGGCTGCAGTATCGAGCAATTTTGTAGCATTCTTTTTTTTCGACAAATTTTACTTATTTGGATCCCATGCAGTAGTGGACACAGCTAACTGAAAAGTTAGCTTCGATAACCGTTAATCCACTTGCTGAAAAGTTAGCTTTTATAACGCTAAACCGATAAATCGCCGTAAAATTTAGCTGAAATGACCGCTAACCGCCAACTTTCATTATATCAATTTATCTTTGGCTTAATTTTTTGGAGGCTCTGAAACTCTGAAAAGAGAACTACATAGCTGAACTTTTAATATGTAGTAGCATTGACAAGGAGCTTTCCAAAAAGGTGTATCATGCCAAGATCAGATGATGATCAAGATGTACATAAATAATTATATGAACAAATTAAATTAAGCGATAGTTGACTTTCAATATACAGTTTAATACGTAACGAATAAGCAAGTATTGAACGAAAAAAAAATATTAAAAAATAAAAACACACAGGTAAAAGTAGAGTAATCCACTGCTATTGCTCAGGCTTGCCCTTCATCTCCTCGAGGTGATGATTTTTACCCTTGATGAACATCAGCCTCTCTGCCCTTGATGAACATCAGCCTCTCTGCCCCTGATGAACATGAGCCTCTCTGCTCCTGATGAACATCAGCCTAAAATGCTGCGTCAACCAATCACGTCTTGTGCCACTACAATATGTAGCAGGAACACAAGACCTGATTGGTTGACGTACATATGTTGACATAGTCGGCCATCAGTGTGGCACACGGCTATTGATACTTAGCATATAATATTAACACCTGAATTTTCTATCAGAAGATATTTATATGTATTTTTATCGGACTGCTAGTTAGCGGAACTAAATTTAGCGGAAGCCAATTGGTCCGCTAATGGTATTCAAAGTTAGCTGAAAAGCTAGTCCGATAAAAGAAAAGTTAGCTTCGCTAATTAGCGGTTAGCGAATTAGCGGAAGTGTGCCCACCACTGCTCCCATGAACAATTAAAATTTCCTAAATACGACATCTTAAAAACTTATCTCCTCGAATGATTCTCAAGCTACAGCATTGAGAGATATACCATTCGATTTGTAGAAAGAAATCTACCGATTTACCGGTCACTTTATTTATTATTTCGTAATAGTTTGGATTATATATTGAAAAAAACGGGGGGAGGAGCAAAAATTGAAAAAATTAAAAGTCTCCCCACCTAAAAAAATGTATTTTGAAAAAAAAGTGGTCGGGAAATCTAGCGATTTACCGACCCCACATGAATAATGTCTCTCGATGTTGTAGCATGTTAATGAATGAGTAGATATATTTTCACAGTTCTCCCTTTTTTAGCCGTTTTCTATGAATTTCATGTTTTCTTCCTTTTTTTTCTAAAAATTTCACACGAACAAATAAGTTCAAAATTTATGTTTTGCATATGTGTACCAGGTTTCAAAATTATCAGTCCGTAAATAAATTTTTTTGCCGAAATGCTCCCCATTAGGTTTATGCAATGCATTGATTACTTCACTCTATGTCAAAGGTAATCACTTGGCAAGAGTTATTCCATCAGATTACGTCTCTAAGCATATAATCATATTATTAGGAGTTCTAATCTTTCTCACAGCTGCTGTTGATATCCTGGCTCATCGCTATACGAAATACATTAACTGTGTGAATTCGCATATCGAAAAAAATACAATAACACAAACACAAAGCCTTTCTCGATCTGTATCATAACTAGAACTATTGCGAACATATTACTGTTAATTATTTTATAAAATTGATGTGAAAAAAGTCGTGCGAGATGTATGCAGCTGATTCTTAAATATATAATATTAACCTCTTGCTTTATAGTTTGAAGGACATTTTTAAGCCATGATGATATTCTGCCAGATGATAGTACTGTAAGTGAGTTTAAACTGAATTAATTCTAAAAATAATTTATTAACTTTAAAGGCCATTTTTTTACTCTACTTTACAATTCCCATAAACATTGAATCATTTATTTATTAATTAGAAGCTTGCAGCCTGGTTGTACAACCTGATCAGACAGTTTCCTAAAGAACATTTCTTGAGACAAAAAAAAAATAATTTTAACTAAAGACGTAACAGCAAAACTTTTAAACCAAAGGCACTACACTTTTTTAATCAGATCATCGGTAATGACAGGTCTCCCACTTTCCTCGTCGTAAATGTTTGCGCGGCCATCTTTAAAGGCCCTAATATACTTCTCCAGCATTCCATCACTCATAATGTTTAAACCACTCATTTCACTGATTTGGCGATGAATGTCAACTGACTTGAAGTCTTAAGCACAGAGAAACGCATGCACTTCACAGTCGGCGGGATTCGCAATAAGTGGAGGCATTTTAAATCCGTAATGCCATCTGTAGCTTCCCAACAGATACCAACTCACCTCCGCCGCACAAGCGCTCAACGGCGACCAATGCAGCGCTGCCACGGCGTATTTAAAACCGGTACATACTCTAAAAAATATAACTCAGTACTCACTGCAGTGAGTGACCGAGAGCGCATTTTATCGTCGACGAAAACGTGAAGTCACGAACGGACGGACGGACGGACAGACAGACGGACATGGCGAGCACAATAAGGCATTTTTCCATAAATGAGAAAATGCGCTAAAAACGCGTCGTGAAAGCCAGGGACTGCATCGTGCTAGTGTCACAGCGAGCCAGAACTTGGACGCGAGCGATGCTGTGTCGGCTAAGGAAATGCTTTAAGCGTCAATGTTAAGTACTGTAAGCTTGATATTTATCATCATTATATAATTAGATTTGATAAAAACTCTTTGATGATTGTATTAGTTGTTGAACATTCTTAAAGCTGAATATATTAACGGCTTAATTGGAATATGAAGCATCGTTAAGCAAATGGGCAGTTAAGCAAAGTTTTGTGCAATATGAACACTACACGAGCAAAGCGACCAATTGAACCTAGGATTAAAAATTTAATCTTCAAGGAAGTTCTTCAGAATTTTGAGATATATCGCAATATTTTCTTTGAAATCCGTGTTTTTATGGCTGGCAAGACATTGACGACGACGCTGGCAAGACATTGATTAACGGCGCCAACGGTCGGTGAGCGTTGCTGTGCGGAAGTTTGACCATCGGCCTTTGCTAAAATAAGTACAGTCGACCACTGAATGTGCCCACTCATTGCAGTAGACAGCAGAATGTGCAGAAAATCAATACGATCCCTTTGCAAGTACATCCTGTAACTGTGCACTCGAAAACTATGCAGTACTTCTAGGAGTTCTAACCCCGCACTGAAGGATATCTTGTATTGCACTTCGGGCGCTGGTCGAGGCAGGATTTTCATGCGTTTTAACCCATGGCCAACATCCGGCGAAAGCCTGCACCTGAACGCAGTTCGCCACAGGCTTTCCTCGAAGAGCTTTTATCTCATCGCTGCAGATGCTCCATAACGAAGCTCAATTGATGCGAACTTCCATTACCTTGCAACCGTAAATTTACCCTAAAGTGGCCTTAAATTACCCTAAACTGGTAATAAATTACCCAACTGGTTATAAATTACAATAAACTAGTCTCGATTTACTCTAAACTAAAGCCTAAATAATTCATCGGCAGGGTGGCCCTGTGGTTACAGTACCAAAATTGGAGCAATGAGTTGTGGGTTTGATCCCAGCTATCTTCTACAATTCTGGTCAACTTGGCGAGATGGCCGGATGGTTAAGCGCAGCAAAATAGAAGCAGTGAGTTGCATGTTCGAGGCCAGTAACAAGCTATGAAAATTACGCGATATTCAGCATCGGCGACAGGTCTAATGGCCTAGTCAACGCTAAATCCGCTATACTACTGTCATATACATAAGTAGCCTTAATTTATCATAGTACGGCCTCAATTTGCCTTAAACTAGTCTCAATTTTACCCTAGGTTGGCTTAGATTTACCCTAGCCTGGCTTCAATTCCCCCTAGACTGTTGGCAATTTACTCAAATCTGGCCTTGACCTGCAACCATATTTAAGAGATTTTAATATTTATAGTGTTTATAAATGTGTAAAATTCACGGACGAACGTTTGGCCAATCCCCGTTTCCTTAGTATGTGTTTGGGACGTAGCAGTCCCAGGCCACGTTGCATGGAGCGCCAGCTTTGACTACCTCGCATATGCCCTCAGTTGAGCTGCTGATGCACGCTAAGGGCTTTTTTTGGTAACCGATTTTAAGGCAGTTTCGAGATACAAATTTGAAGTTTGGCGAGGCCCAGTAAAATATGGTAGTCAGAAGAGACGACGCAGGATATATTCCAATTTATTTCGGTAGTTATAGAATAAGAGTGCTAGGAAATACAGACTGATCGGCGTAAATAAAACGTCGAGTCAAGACAAGCGAAACACTAATAATATGCAGGAAGGAAATATGCGAGATGTTCTTCGTGTATGGACGAGATCTGTAAAACATTCTGCATTAATTGAACGCAATGCTAAATTGCTCGCAGGATATACATTGTAATCGCTGGTCGACTCATATATTCAAAATGATCAGAAGGATCAGGAAACCTATTCAATAAGATGCTAGGTATGGTATAATATGAATAAGAAAACCCTAACTGGAATTTAGCACCAGGATTGCATACAATACACGAATCACTCTTTCAATTTTGTATTCATTAGTTACGCAACAGACTTATTATCCAACAATTTACTATTTAGAAATTCACTACTAATATTAAATATTAATAACACAAAG